TAACTTCAGGTGTTTGATTTAGAAGTTATATTCTTTGTGTTCCATATTGTATATTCACTGTATTAAAGTCACTTTTCATTAAAGCTTTATATGTTTTGTCTTGTTGCGGCGGATGGCAGAACCCACTTAGAGCAGGCAGGTTTTGGGGCTTCAGGGGTGCCTCTCCCTGAATTGAGGTGCCCTATAACAGATTTGCTGCCCTATAACACTACCAGGTAGAGAGCTGACCCACATAGAGTGCAGCAGACCTCTCCTGTTTGGCTCATTGCTTCCCTTAGCAGTGTGTTTCACTAAATCCACCTGTTCTGCTCCCTAGTCTGTCTCTGATGTATCCTTTCTCTCCACAAAACTCTGGCCTACACCCTATGCAAAAAAATAAAATATTGCAACAAAGCAAGTTATTATTAATTTTTTGGTTTCCCAATGAATATAAATTATACTTACATTCTCTTGTAGACTATTAAGTGTGCAATAACATTATGTCTTTTAAAAATGTACATACATAAGTGTGTCCCTGGTGGTGCAAGGAATTAAGTCTCAGCACTAAGAAGCTATCTGCAGTTATTGCATCACAAGTTCGACCCCCAGCCAGGGAGCTGAACCACATGGAGCAGACCTCTCCTGTCTCATCCATTGCTCCTCTCAGCAGGGCATTTCAGTAGATCTGCCTATACCACTCTCTACTCTTATCTCTGGTAAAGCCTCTCACTCTTTGCACCTCTGGCTTGTATCCCAGTTCTTGTATGCATAAATAAATCAATCTTAAAAGAAATAATTTAAGAACATACTGGCTTCCACAACCCCCCCCCCACTCCAGTATTGTTTAAAAAAATGCCAAATCAGTCTTTAGTAAATCATAATCATTTTTGCTGGTGAAGAGTCTTGTAAAAAACACATCTGTAGGGCCCTCCCTGGTAGTGCAGCAGGTTAAAGCACAGCACCAAGAAGCCACTTTTGTTGGGAGTGACCAAAGATTTACTGACAATGACTGAATTAGGGCGGTAAAGAATTGAGCCTTGCATCCAAGCTTGATAAAGTGGTACTAAACTGACCTTGCATCCAGGATGGGACTAGCTGAAGGTGATAATGAACTGATAATGAACTGGGCCTAGCATCGGGAGATACAGGTGGGAGGAACTGGGCCTAGCATCAGGGGACACAGCGATGAGTCACCCCTTTGGAATGTGAATCTAGAATCTATATAAAAGACCCTTTCCTCCTTCTGGGGTTGGCAATAGCTGCAGACTCCCCCCCCCCCCTTTTGGAGTTCTGCCTTAGCTGCTGTTCATGAGCATTAAAACTTTACGTGTTCAGCCTTTCTATCTCCTGTCTTTCTTTCTTCCGGCTGGTCACAGAAGTTGGGACTAGACAACTTTTGCATGAGTTTGATCCCCGCCCTGCCGGCCCTGGAGGTGACCACATGGTGTGGCAGACCTCTACTGAACCCGTCCACTGCTCCCCTCAGCAGTGTACTTCGTCGATCTGCCTGCTCTGCTCCCACTCTGTCTCTGGTGAAGCCTCTGATTGCCCCTGTGCCTCTGGCCCCAGTGCTGTATGCACAAATAAATTAATCTTAAAAAAAACAAAACAAAACACACACATCTGTAAAGTGCAATAAAACAGGGAAAGCATGTATTGACTGGTAAATCCCTTAATTCTGCTTTTTACAGAAATAATCATTGAGCAATACATCCATCTCATAACCCTGACCCAAACAGCATTTGTAGGGAGAGCTTTTGATGAAGTAAGTAAAAAAAATCTGACTGCCACGTATAGGGTCAACTCAGCTTTTTGTCTTAAAAATATGATATATGGCCCTCCCTGGTGGCGCAGCGGGTTAAAGCACAGCACTGAGAATCTAAAGCCGCTTCCGCATGAGTTCGATTCCCGCCTGCCCCGGAGGTGACCACATGGTGTGGCAGACCTCTCCTGACCCACCCGCTGCTCCCCTCAGCAATGTGCTTTCTCGATCTGCCTGTTCTGCTCCCCACTCTGTCTCTGGTGAAGCCTCTCACCCTCCACATCTCTGGCCTGTACCCCAGTTCTGTATGAATAAATAAATAAATCTTTCAAAAAAAATATGATATATATTTAGTTTTCCCAGATAAGGGCCCAATTATTCCCCTGATTCTGTTTCAGGAAAGACATGAGAGGAAGTCAGGTAACCACACATTTTGCATGAAAATGATTTCAGGTCCTATTTCAAACTGTAGTGTTTAACATGTACTAGCTGCTGCAGATATCAGAAATAACCATTTTTTTTTTAAATAAACTAAATGTTCCTCCTTAGGACACAGGAAACTATTTGCTATTTGAAACAGGACAATTATAGGCTCTGAAATCTGACCACATTACCATTGTGTCCTAAAAGCCTCGAATATTGAACATTCATATTAAAGAGACTAAATCTTTAAAAACAAACAAACAAAAGAACAGGGAGGGAGATGGGTAGGAAGAGGGCAGCTTCCAGTTGCTTATATATATATTTTTAAGATTTATTTATTTCTGCATACAGAACTGGGGTACAGGCTAAAGGCGCAAGTGTGAAGAGAGAATTCACCAGAGACAGAATGGGGAGCAGAACAGGCCAACTGACAAGTACACTGCTGAAGGGAGCAGTGGGTGGGTCAGGAGAGGTCTGCTCACCATGTGGGTCACCTCCGGGTGGGGATCGAACTCATGCTGAAGTGGCTCTTAGCTTCTTAGAGTTGTGCTTTAACGCGCCACCAGGGAGGGCCCCAAGTTACTTATTTTTAAAATATTTATTAAGAACTTAACCAAGTGCCAGGCACTGTAGTAGGTGCCATCTACATGGCAGAGAAAATTCCTTGTAGGATTTGGCTTGCATTATAGTTGAAGTAAGAAACTAGTAAAAAGTGTTTGACAGTGGTATGCACATTATAATTTTAATTAATCACAGAACCATATTTACATAATGCTAAAAGGCAAAATACTGCTGGAAAGAGCAAAGTGCTAGGGTGAGCTGGGGAAGGCTGAATTTTAGCAAAGGCCTCAGTGAGAGAAGATATTTGATTTTTATTTTTTTAAAGATTTATTTATTTATGTACACAGAACTGGGATACAAGCCAGAGGTGCAGGGGCAGTGAGAGGCCTCACCAGAGACAGAGTGGGGAGCAGAACAGGTAGACTGACAAAGTACACTCCTGAGGGGAGCAGCAGGCAAGACAGGAGAGGTCTTCCCGGTGCTGTGCTGCTCTGCTCTATGTGGATCAGCTCAGGGGCTGGGGATCGAACTATCACTCAGGGGGCTGCAGCTTGCTTGCAGTGCTGTGTCCTAACTCGTAGTGTCACCAGGGAGTGCCCAGACATTTGACTTTTAAAAAAAGATTTGTTTATTTATGTACACAAAAACTGGGGTGTAGGCCAGAGAGGGTTGGGGTGCACTGAGGATGTACCAAAGGGGGGAGCAGAACAGGCAGATGTACTCAAGTACACTGCTGAGGGAGCAGTGGGAGAGACAGGAAAGGTCTGCTGTGCCAGGTGGGTCAAATATCACACTGTAAGCCTGAGGAGGATCTAATTCAGGCCACAATGGTTCTAGTGTGATAGTGCTGAGATTTAGCTCCCAGGCTACCAGGCAGGTCTGAGAGGAAACATTTGAAAGGTGAGGGAATCAAACACCTAAAGGGAACTCCAAGAGACTTCAATTGGACTACCATCATTTAGTGTATTTCAAACTTGGTTGATCTGCATTGATCCTCCAGAGATGCTCATTCTAACCGGATGCCCTGGTCCTGGCCTCCTAGAAGAATGCTGTGGTTAAAGCTCTTAAGAGACTGTCATCTTGATCTTTATTTATATGCGTGTATAATACAAAAACGTATTTGAGTTTTGTTCTGGTTCTTGCCCCAGAGGCCCTAAAACTTTCTGAATTTCCTGAGTAAAAGGAATGCCTGTTGTTCATAAGGCCCCCTGGGATCATGCTTGGGTGTATGCTAATGAGACCCCTGGGGTGAAGCTGTTCACCTGAAAGACCAGTTGATTGGACCTCTGACACCATCTCTGGGAAGGGATGTGAGAGGGTGCTGGAGATTGAGCTCTGTAAAACTCTGTTGTAACAGAGATTCAGAGAGCTGTTGAGCTGACTGACACATCAAAATCCTGAAAGGTTGACGCCCTAGCCCTTTGACTTCCGTTTTTTGGTCATTTGGCTCTTCCTGATTTACATCTTTTATAATAAACCAGCAAATGGTATTTTCTTGAGTTATGTAAGCCATTCTAGAAAATTTTCTACTTATAAAGGTGGGGGGGAGAGTTGTGGGAGCCCTCTTCCATCCCCAGAATTTTATAACCAAGTTGTATGGAAGTGTGGGCAACCCAGGAACCAGCTTGTGACTGGACCCTTAAACTTGTGATCCAGATGCTAACTCTGGGTGGTATCAGAATTAAATTGAGTTGCAGTTGTCCAGAGAATCACAGAATTTGGTGGCTGTTGAGAACATCCTAGAAATAGCCACCACTAAAACTGTAATGTGTCTGAGTTTTCAACATGGTATCTGAGTTTACATGTGCTTCTGTAACAGGTACAGGTTTCATGGATTCCGCCCCCATTCCAGATGTTGGAACTCCAAATCCCATCAGTACCAAGGAGAAGCACGCCGGGACATGAGGGCGGAGCTGAGCAGTCAGGTTGGGATAAAACCGGACGTGTGGGCTCTGGGGAGAGACCTGGTGGTTCGCAGCTGATCATTTTGGCTCTCAATCGGTTTTCAGCGTGCCGGTGGAGTTCAAGTCAGCAGAACTGGTAGGACATCCTAGTTAACCTGTGTTTCTCTCCCTCTTTCCCTGGGTTATTCCTTTACCTTTCTCCTTATAAATAAATCCATTATTTAACCTTTTGAGTGTGTCCATAATACGATTGAATCATAAGCGCACGGATAAAGACCCACAGACAGGCAACCCAATTCACATTGGGGCACCCTGTAACACTTCGATAGTACAGAAGAAATGTTAACATTAGACACACATCAAAATAATGCACAAAAGAATTTTATTTAGTGGTCAGATCCCAATGAATAATGCCAGTCATTGCTTGATTCTGCTAAAATGTGCTACCAGATACTCTTAAGAAAGTACAGTGCATCACAAAAAGCTGTTTCATTTGGATTGTGTGGAGTAAAAGAACACTTCATAAATCTTTGTAGTCTGATAAAATTTTTAAAATATAAAATGAAAACAAAACAAAAGCAGTATTCAAAAATAATAGATGTCACCTTGGACTATTTACAATAAGATGCCTATTAAAGGGAGATACTCTGCTTCTTCTCCTCACATTTGACTTCTTTTTAGGTATTCTCATTCCTTCCTCTGATCCTTATTCACTATTTCTTCCATTCCCATCTCACATGAAAATCATCTTGTATTTTCTCTTAATCGTCTTTGAGCTTGCTCTTACTCCTTTTCCTACCTTTAAATTACTAATAATTTTATTCAACAGACATTTGTTGAGCACCTAGTATGTGCCAGGCACTGTGTTAGGAGGTGGGGATAAATACAGAGGTGAAAAGTCATTCCTTCCTCTTCAAAATACCTCAGATTTTGGACTGAATTGAAAAAACATTGTCTTTCACATTTTCACAAACCCTGGGCTCCTAAAGCAAATTTACTGACTTCTTGAAACAGTGTACTCACAGTGGGCAACCTGGCCTACTCCAACAAGCTTGAACTCAGAATTCTGTTCTTCTTATGAAGAATAAGCTCAACAGCCCAGGCCTAGTGTTTGAGTCCTAAATCCTGAGAGGCTGGGACCATATATTGGGAAGTAGAGGACCATTTGTTTTGTGGGAGAAGGTCATCTTTTAATTGGCTTCTACAAATTCCAAGTATGAAAAGCTCTTAATCCAAAAAAAAAAAAAAAATACTAAACTTGAGCTATAGATATACATTAATAAAGTCTTGCAACAAGATACTCTAAAATTCCTATCTTTTATAAATGTCCAGGAAGAGCTCTTTTTATTACCTCCACACATAATTCTGTGTGATTTTCACAAAAACAGCAAATTAAGCCTGCAGGTGACCTTTTTTTTTTTAAAAAAAAAATCTTGGTTGAACCCAAATAAGCTCAACTCTTGCCTGTGACCTACAGCTTTATCCATGAAGCCTCAAGAGACTCATGGTAGTTACTTGAAGAAAAAAAGAAACAAAAGCTGTATACAGCCTACCATGGAAGCAAAAATGAAAACAGAGCCTTGCCACTCCCATCTTGTTCCATGTCTGGCATACCACATCCCCACAAATATTCACATTTGGAAACATTTATTATTCACAGGAAATCAAATTCAAATCATGGTGATGGGCTTCACTCTCAACAGTGTGGAGTATGTTCTTTCGTGGAACCCTCAGAGCCAGCCAGTGGACAATGACGAAGAGTTTCTGTGGGAAAGATCTTTCCTTGATTCTCCCTGTCTTTCCACAGGTTGTGCAGGGTAGTGTTTCTAAAAAGTTTCCTTCAAATTAGATGATACTCTATCATCTCAAGAGTATTATTAGTACCAGATTCCGAATTTCCTGATGCGCTGGTTCCAAGCCCTTTGGAACTGAAGGCAACTTTAGGAGTTGGCATTATTCCATGTTACGTTTGGCCTGCCTACCCTATGGCAGGGTGATCCTGTCTGAAATATGTGAGGAAAGTGAGAAGAGCAGGGTGACTTGGGAGAGGGGAAGAGGTCATCATGCACAAGTTTCTTGCCCTGTCGTGCATATACTTTCAGTGAAACAGCGTGAATTTTGACACATAAGGGCTTGTGCTTTTTCCTTAACTCGCCCTGAAAAGCTCTTTTGGCAAATGTGGCCATGAACATATGTGTGCGTATGTGTAAAACGTGTCATGAGGTTACGTGACAAGTCCTGTGAGTGTGTCCCAGCCCCTCCCCTACTCACACCCACCTCACCAGCCAAGAAAAGCTAATGGGTTTTACACCTGGTCAGTTTGATATTCTGAAGCTTCAGAAAGGCTTTCGGAGAAGCTTAGGAAATTCTCCTGGTATTCAGAACAAACAATCTCGTAACGGTAATGCCGGAACTCCACAGCGAAGGTGCCAAAGTAAGACAGGAAACACATGACCAGGCCCCACTGGACTCTGGCTGCATACATGTGGATGCCTTGAGCCATGAGGATGAAGTCTGGGGAGAAGCAGTCAAGGAAAGTAGCCTCTTGTCAGCCCTATAACACTGGGCTCTTTCCTGTCAGAGACAAGTTACAGGAAAAGTCTGGCTCTCCCAGGACAGCAAAACGGTTAACTTGACAGTTTGTGTTAAACATCTTCCCTAATTATACCTGATAAAATTGATAAGCTGTTACTTTCTGCCAGACATGCTTCCAGATGCTCACATAAACTCCAATGGAATTTTATCCTCCCAGCAATCCTGTTATTACTAGTTCTTCTAAAAATAGGGCAACTGAGGCCAAATGAGCCAGCAATGGCCTGAGGTGGCACACGTATTAACCAGTGGAGCTGGGGTCCAAACACAAGCACTGATTTCCAGGTCATGCACTGAACCACTACACTCTCTAATAAACTGTGAAATTAGGAAGAGGATGACAACTCCAAAGTACCTAGTTGGTCAGAAAAATTATTAAAAACCATTGCAAATAACTATGGATTCACAATCATCACTCTCTATCTGAAGAAACAACATTGAATATTTCAGTTCATTCCCTATTTCCATACCAGCTGTGCTTGTCTGCAGCACAGCGTCTAAATGGCTCCCCTCTTCTGTCTAGTTTTCATTATTGCCTTCAGACAATACTGTAGACCTGAGTTTTATATCTATTACATTGAAACTTTCACCCACCTGAAAATATACAATTAAAAAAATAGATGAGGGCCTCCCTGGTGGCACACAAGAGGTTAAGTCTCAGCATTATAAAGCTATTGCCAGCTCGAGTTCCATCGCCTGCCAGGGAGCTAACCCACATGGGGCAGCAGACCTCTGTCTCGCCTGCTGCTCCCCTCAGCAGTGTATTTCAGTAAATCCACCTATTCTGCTCTCTGCTCTGTCTCTGGTGACTCCTCTCAGTCCCTTCACCCCCAACATCTCTGGCCTACACCCCAGATCTTGTATGCATAAATAAATAAAGATAAATCTTGAGGAAAAATAGATAAATGAGACCCCTATGCCTGAATACATATGCATACAAGGATGGAGGTATGTTGCGTGTCTACACACAGAGTACATACACCACACTGGTATATGTGAAGGTAGGCGCTAAGAAGAGAAAGGTTCACAGCATGCTTTAGTAAAAGGCCAAGAGGTTAAGGACTAAATAAATTTATTAGAAAAATCAGAAATGTCCTCTTAGAATTAGTTCGGTCCTTCTAACTTAGGCTTAACATTGGGAAATTTTCAGAGAGCACATCAGCTGAACTTTACATCCCTGAGTAGGCTTGAATGCATTTACCTAGGAACTCAGAAATGCAACTGTTTTAAAAACAACATGTGTCAATTGTTTGGTCTGTGTACACCTCTGACTGAGGGCTTAAAACATTGCCAAAGCATTATTAAGTTAATGGGAAAGGTATAAATTTCAAATCTTATACTGACAGTTCTGAGCTTTTTAATCAAAATATTTTAGTAGCTTGGTAGCAATAAATACATTTTTAAAATTTGACTTTCAAGTCCTTAAATGCTCTGTAATGTGACTGCAGACTTTCAAAAAGCCACAAAATGACTGAAAAAACAATTTGTTCAAGAAGAAATAAAAGACACCAAATACTCTACAAATGAAAGAACATCTCTGAACGCTTAATGTTTTTCTATTTTAAACTCTCTCTAAGGTGGGATGGTGCAGTGGCCAAGTGGGCAAAAACTGAGCCCAAGATTAAATCAAGATCACCAACTAAGAGTGTCTCACTCTTCTTATCTAAGTGAGGCTAAAGGGAATTGATAACACCTACTACATTTTAAGCGCCCCATAAATACTGATTATTGCATGACTGAAGAGCCATTACTGTGTTAAGTATTCAGTCTACCATCTAGGAACTTATTTTCTTCTCTGGTTTCTGGAGGAGGACCTGTTGGCTTGATGATTAATGAGTGACTGATATGATTAGTGGGACTAGAATCAGCTGGATTCTATGGGGTCATACCCAGTAAGTGGGATCTATATTCCCACCTGGCTAGTTGTTCTAGGATCTCTTTGAGTTAATCTCAAAGTGAAGCATTTCCACTTTGAGTGAGGCATTTTCCTCCTGCCTCTTCTTGCTTTAAGGTTGTTACTGGGATAAGGTGAATTTCAGTTGTATGAGAGAGGGCATTCTTTCCAAATTTACCATGAATAAAGACTGATTTCTTTACCACCCCCTTCACTTTTTTTGTCTGTTCTCCATTGCTTTAAACATTGAAGAGAGGAAGGGAAATGAATAGCATCTTAAAACTTCAAAAACAGGGCCCTCCCTGGTGGCGCAGCGGGCTAAAGCACAGCACTAAGAAGCTTAAGCCACTTCCGCATGAGTTCGATTCCCGCCTGCCCTGGAGGAGATCCACATGGCGAGGCAGACCTCTCCTGACCCGCCCGCTGCTCCCCTCAGCAGTGTACCTCATTAATCTGCCTGTTCTGCTCCCCACTCTGTCTCTGGTGAATCCTCTCACCCTCCGCATCTCTGGCCTGTACCCCAGTTCTGTATGAATAAATAAATAAATCTTTAAAAAAAAAACTGCAAAAACATGTGTTTAGGACAACCATATACCCACCAGTAACCTAGCTCTTCAATTTGTTTTCCAGAAAATCTTACTTAATTTCCCAAGAGATATAAATGAATTCATCCCTTGAAATTAACTCTTGAGGGTCCTCTCTGGTGAAACAACGGGTTAGGATGCAGCACTGTAAGCTGGCTGCAGCCGCTTCAGTGAGAGTTCGATCCCTGGCCCCAGAGGTGACCCACATGGAGTGGCAGACCTCTCCTGACCTGCCCGCTGCTCCCCTCAGCAGTGTACTTCATAGATCTGCCTATTCTGCTCCCCACTCTGTCTGGCAAGTTCTCTCACTGCCCCTGCACCTCTGGCTTGTACCCCAGTTCTGCATATATAAATAAATAAATCTTTAAAAAAAGAAAGAAATTAACTCTTGAGTTAATAAATGAAATAACAAGGCCATTAATAAAGTCACAAATGAAAAAAATGTTTAAGATGGAGAAAAAAACACAATTCTCTTTTGGTTATGCATTCTATATTTTTCAGAAAGGGAGACAATTACATCACAAATGAGAAAGCTTGACACCATTTCTAAAGACTGAGCCAAATAATCTTGAGAAAGATTGTTTTAATTTTAATTCTCCATCTTGGCAAATAGATCTGTGAGTTTTTGTTTTAAATACCTATTTACTTTTCTGTTTTGTCTAAGATTCTGAGATAATCTGAGGGTGTATATATACTAACCACCTGGGAATGGCTATTTTCTCATCTACGTAAACAACTTATCTGTTTTAACTGGCAGAGAATTTTCCACATTCAAAGGATACAGAGGACCACACAAAGAGTAACAGATGCTGACAGAATAACTCGTGGAATTCCAACTTTCCGTCCTTCATTCTTGATGTTGACTTTGAGTGTCAATGCAGCCTGGATCCAGCAGGCCAATGTGCCAAATCCAAAGGCCAAGGACGTTCCCACATTATGAATTTCTTCATCATTAGTGAGCTATAGGATAAAGAGGTAATGATGTGTGGAGGTTCATTTAGAAAAGACAAGCCAATAGATTATGGAAGGAAGTAAAAATAGATGCAGTGATAACCTAATAATGAGATGATAGATTCTAGAAAGATTAGAGTCCTTCATCTCCATTGCAGACTCTTTGTATCTGTTCTCAATGGGTTTGAGCGCTGAGGTAAGGGAAATAAATAGTACCCAAAGCCCAAAATATTTGTTTAGAAAAACCATGCAGGTAGTATAATCTACTCCTAATTTATTTTCCAGGAAAACTGAGGAAAAGGAGAAAGTAGGAAGGCTATTAAAGAGAGAGAGAGAGAGAGAGAGAGAGAGAGAGAGAGAGAGAGAGAGAGAAATACCAGTTTCTGCAAACTTGTACCCATACTTTGGTTTCCATATTGGTAAATGAGACCCAGGATCTGACTGTATTAACTGACTGAGGAGGACCAATTCCAAGTAGGTCAAGATTTTACTGGCATAGACAGTAAATAACACATGCTCTGGGATTTACTTGCATAAACCTGGCCTGTCTATATAATGTGATCAATGTATTATTAATGGGAATATTTTTTGTTTTGCTTTCCTTTTATGGTAAGAAAACTGCCATATCTGGGGACCCATTTATGGGCAATAATGTTGGAAGATCCTCGAGAGTCAATAGGCTCAAGGAGATTCAGTGTATTATTTCACTGGGTGGGGCAGGTAGAGATGTAGAAACCGACTCTTTATCCACTAATATTTTAAAATATTTCTGTCACTTAAAACAGACTTACTAATTAAATATATTTTAATTATACATATAAAAAAATGATCTACCACTAAAGATGTGGCCTTTAAAACATTGTAAAAATTTTTTGGGGGGACCTCCCTAGAGGCAGCACTTTGAAGCTAGCCACAGCCACTGCAATATGAGTTTGATTCCACCCTCCACCCTCTGCCAGGGAGGTGACCCACATGGCTTGATAGGCCTCTCTTGTCCTGCCCATTGCTCCCGTCAGCAATGCACTTCAGTTGATCTGCTTGTGGTTCACCAAAACCACCTAACCTTTGGGTTTCTTCTCAGACTTAGGTTAAGAACAAAACATTATTCAGTGAATGCTGCCTAAATTTTGGATGGGAGAAAGATAGTTATTGAGCACTTTACAACATGTCTAGCACCTGCAGTATGGAGAGGTAAGTGGGAGAAAGATTCCCACCAAAATCTTAATAAAGAATGTTTGGTATTCTGTAATTTTAGAGCCTAATAGGATAAACTCTCAAATGTTTGTCCTAGCCAAAAAAGTTCTAAGAATACAGCTTTCTTGTGTCTCACTTGATAGGGGATAAGATCTAGAATTGTTAGAGGAATTGGTGGGACTGCCTGTCTGTTCAAATGAACTGTCAAGTCAAAAACACACACTGTGCTGTTCACTGTGTGCAAAGGGAACTCTTGGGAAGCAAGTTATTCTGACTCAGTGAATTATCAAGGCTGAGGTTCAGAGCAAGAGAGTCTTAGAAAATCCCCTACCATACATTCTTGGAAACCTAACCTCTTTTGGATTTCCCACAGTAAACTGAAGAGTCTGGATAGGTGACTAAGTGCAAAGAAGAAATGTCTAACAGAGACAGGTAACCAGGTTCAGAGAAAATGTGGGAGAGAGTGGAGACAGAGGAACAGGTAACTAGTAAAGTAGCACAGGGGTCTCTGTGTCTGTTTTACAAAGGATGTCATTTAGGTTAAAAGCTAGGGTTTAACAACTGTGTAAGCTCACATGTGAGAGGAGAACTCAGGTAGTTGAGGCAGAAAGACCATAAGGTCTGGCAGCAAGAGAGGTTGTGCCTCTTAGGAATCACTCTCAACATTTTTTGTTTTTGAGGCTTATTCAGAAGCATACTTCAGAGTGACTATATGCCAGAGGCTGTGACAATCATATAGGTGAAGTATGACATGGAGGTGAAAAAGGCCAAATGAAGTACCTGAAAATTACCAAGTAAGGTCATGCCAAAGGAAGCCAGACATAGTGCCACCAAACCACTGATATTCAGCCACGGATTTAAAACCTTTGGTTTCAGTTGTATGAAGCGCAGTACGGCCACCACAAGGGCTAGAATAAAACAAAATGTTAAAATCAAAAAATTTTAAATCATATACCTAGAACATGAGGCAGAGTTTTAAAGCTACAATGTACAAAGCTGAACTTTCACCACACTGCCATTTTAACTCTTTGAAATGACACAAAATTTTTTAAAGAAATATTTTCATGGGATGCACATGATTATTTAGATATATAACCTGGGGAAAATGAAGAGGAACTGAAGCAGCAATGCTATATGTTATTTGGCTGATGTAAGGATGATAAAACTGTCTCTTTTTTTGCATAGATGATCTGGAGTACAGGCCAGAGGTGCAGGGGGTGAGAGGAATCACCAGAGACAGAGTGGGGAGCAGAACAGGCAGATCCACTGAAGTACACTGCTGAGGGGAGCAGCGGGCAAGACAGGAGAGGTCTGCTGTGCCATGTCGGGTCAGTTCCCTGCCTGGGGATCAAACTCAGACCTTGTGGTGATAGTGCTGAGTCTCAACCAAAGTGGAAGGCCCATCCATCCACTTTTATTTTTGCACAGGATACTGGGAGCCAAGGATTAGGTATAAGGACAGGTAGATAGGTAAGTAGCAAGATTATATCCAATAGACACTGAATATTAAAAGTTGTAGTAGAGTGAGGCCAGCAAATCATCAACCACATCTCCCCCACTTCCGACTGATTTTACCTACAAATTTTCAATGCCAAAAAACAGTCCCCTATAGTGGCATAGGATTTAGTCTCAGTGCTATCACCTCTACAGCCTGAGTTCAATCCCCGGCCAGGGAGCTGACCCACATGGCACAAGAGACCTCTCCTGTCTGGCCAGTTCCTCCTCTCAGCAATGTATTTCAGTCAATCTGCTTGTTGCTTCTCACTCTGTCTCTGGTGGATTCTCCCATCATGCCCTCTGGCCTATACCCTAGTTCTTTTATGCAAAACTAAATGAGTCTTTTTTTTTTTTAAGACAAAATCAGTTTACCCAATCACAGCAGTTACAATAGTGAAATTTCCTCAAAGTGTGTTTTAACATAGCTCATTGTATATTTACCTGCCATGCATTTCTCCAAAGAATATGAATGACAAGCAGGTACATGAAAAAATGCTCAACATTCCTAATCATTTAGGGGAATACAAATTAAAATGGCAACACTATATCACCTCATGCCTGTTTTTTGCCTTCATCAAAAGAGAAGCTAATATACGGCCCTCCCTGCTGGTGCAGGGGGTTAAAGTGCAGCACTAAGAAGCTAAAGCCACTTCAGCATGAGTTTGATCCCCGGCCCCAGAGGTGACCCACATGGCTGGCAGACCTCTCCTGACCCTCCTGCTGCTCCCCTCAGCAGTGTACTTCATCAGTCGGCCTGTTCTGTTCCCCACTCCGTCTCTACTGAATCCTCTCATCACCCCTGCACCTCTGGCTGTACCCCAGTTCTGTATGCATAAATAAATAAATCTCTATAAAAAAAGAGAAGATAAAATAATAATAATAATAATAATAAAATATCATTGGTGTGATATGGAGAAAAGGGAATAAACACTTGTATACTCTTGGTGTGATTAGAAATTGGTATAGCTATTAGAAAAAAACAGTATGAAGGATCTTTAATAAATTCAAAATAGCACTACTATATGATCCAGCAATTCTACTTCTGGGAATCTCATTTCAAGGAAATAAAAACAACTGTGGACACTTTGGTGGAGGATGGGGACACTGGGGGGACCACATCCAAGGGGAAAAATTCTAGCCTGTGAATAAATAAGAAATGATATTTTATTATTATTATTAATTAGAAAATAATAATAATTTAAAGGAAATGAAAACTAATTCGAAAAGACATCTGTTATTTCTATGCTCACAGCAGTATTATTTATTTATTTATTTTAAAAGATTTATTTATTTATGCTTACAGGATTGGGGTACGGGCCAGAGGTGCAGGGGCAGTTAGAGGATTCACCAGAGATGGAGTGGGGCGCAGAACAGGCAAATTGACAAAGTACACTGCTAAGAGGAGCAGCGGGTGGGTCAGGAGAGGTCTGCCATATGGGACAGCTCCCTGCCCGGGGATCGAACTTGTGCTTCAGTGGCTTCAAAGAGCTTCATAACGTGGTGCTTTAACCATTGCGCCACCAAGGAGAGCCCCAGCAATATTATTATAATAATAGTTGAGATATGGACACAACTTATTATTATAATAGCTGATAATAGTTGAGATATCTCAACTATTATTACTATAATAATAATAGTTGTTATTATACATCAATGGATGAGTAGATAAAGAATTTGTGGTATAGATTTCAAATCTGACTTCTGTAACCTTCAATATGGAAAATATCCAGCCATAAAAAACAAAACAAGGAGGGCCCTCCCTGATGGCGCAGCGGGTTAAAGCACAGCACTGAGAATCTAAAGCCGCTTCCGCATGAGTTCAATTCCCGCCTGCCCCGGAGGTGACCACATGGTGTGGCAGACCTCTCCTGACCCGCCCGCTGCTCCCCTCAGCAGTGTACTTCGTCGATCTGCCTGTTCTGCTCCCCACTCTGTCTCTGGTGAATCCTCTCACCCTCCGCATCTCTGGCCTGTACCCCAGCTCTGTATGAATAAATAAATAAATCTTTAAAAAAAACAAAAAAACAAAAAACAAGGAAACCCTACTATTTCTGATAATATGGATGAACTGAACCTTGAAGGCATTATGATAGGTAAAATAAATCAGAGAATGATGGTTACTATATCACCTAATATATATATGGAATCTAAAATAAAACAAAACAAAACTCATTAAAAGAGTTAATGTGGTTATTAGAGGTTATTAGAGGTGGAGGAGGGGAATTGGAGAAAGGTAATAGACATTTCTAGTTACAAGACAAATAAGTGCTAGGGAAGTAATACCCATTATGATGACCACAGCTAATGTGGCTATATGACATATAGGGAAGTTAAGAGAGAAATCTAAAAAGTTCTCATCACAAGGTGATTTTTGTTCCTTTTTTTCCTTCTTTCTATAGAAGAGTGGTAATCATTTCATAATATGTCAAGCTTTGTATCTTAAACTTATGGTATATGTCAATTATTTCCCAATAAAATTGGAAAATTAAATTGAAAAATCATACTCAATTCTTCCAAATGATATTAATCATTCATTTTAAAAGGTCACTCTATATTATGAAGCAAACTGTCATTAGGGAATCTGAGGAAAAATGAAGGAAGTTGGGAAGATTTTAGATCAGACTTCTAATTGTAACTTTCAGAATGGCTCATTCTTAAGCCACTAGTCAAAAAAATCCCCTTTGGCTAATTGGTTTAGTGCCGTGATATTTTCATATGTCTACAAAAACTTAGGAGAAGTTACTCTACAAATGAAAAAGAAGTACTTGTTATTGATGTAAATTATATTTACATATAAGAAATGCACTTACTACTTCCTAAGACAATTTATTTTGACATTAAGGTTTAGCAGGGAAGGCAATTAAAAATTCAAGAATTCCCCCTTTTATACTGTAATTATGTAGATAATCATTTGCTAAAGATTTTGCCTTGATTACGGGACATTATTAGAAGCCTTTATTAAAGAAAAGTCATCCTTAAATTTTCATTTCCCATGTATGCCAAATTCCATAGTTCGAAGCTATGAAGTTTGATTCAGTGAGTTGACCTTCAAGTTCTAAGTACTTCTGCAAAGAGTTATATACAATTTGACTAATATTTGGATTTTGAGAACAAAATAGAAGTAAACTATAATTTATGAAATCTTACAATGTTCAGTCTCAATTTAGCTTTCAGTATGTTTCAGTTAACGCCTACTTTTATCATGAACTCGTGATAATTGAGTTGACACAGTTTGTCAGCCTAATGGTTTGAGGGATGTAGTTAGCAGCTACAAAAATCTGAAGTTACAATGACAGTAACTATCTTAGAGGATGAAAAAATAATTCTGACTTCTTATTATATTTCTTTGGGTGGGACTGGAGGAAGACGTGGGGAGCAGAGAACTTCAGCATACGCACTCTGACACAAAGTGATCACAGATAAATAAGTTATTAGATTAAAATCAGAAACTTCAGAGAACCCTGGGAGAGTTAATTGAGTGTGAATATGAGGGCATGGTAACAAAATACCAAGAGAGCACATTTAAATTTTTTTTCTTTGAATCACAAGTGAAAAGCAGTACTCTAGGAACTTTCTGGTTGTCATTAATTTGGAAGATAAGATCATCTTGGCACCAGCACCAATTGCTGCTATCACAGACACTGAAATGGCTCCCACATTGACCGATCCAGTCAAGCTATTCCACTCCGCTGAGGAGAGTCAAGAAAGCTGTCTCTGTTACTCATGTGTTGCCAATAAGCAAGGAATCTGTAACAGCTCTTGGAACCAGCATTGCTATTTGTAATATGAATGAGAAATTATTTTTATCTTATGAATTTAAACTTATGATGAAATTAAGCAGGGTTAGCGTGGTGAGAAGATTCACCAGAGACAGAGTGAGGAGCAGAACAGGCGGATCTACTGAAATACACTGCTGAGGGAAGCAGCGGGCAGGTCAGTCGATGTCTGTCACACCATGTGGGTCAGCTTCTTGGCCAGAAATGGAACTTGTGCTGCAGTGTCTGCGGATTGCTTCATAGTGCTATGCTTTAACCTGTTGCGCCACCAGGGAGGGCCCCCAATTGAGGTTTTTTTTTTTTTTTACAGATTTATTTATTTATGCATACAAGAACTGAGGTACAGACTAGAGGTGTGGGGGGTGAGAGGATTCACCAGAGAGAGAGTGAGGAGCTTTGTAGTGCTGTGCTTTAACCTCATGTACCACCAGTAAGGTCCCTCCAGTTTAGTTTTTTACATGGTGGGGATAATAAAAAATTCTGGTACCTTTAATAGTTTTATTAACAGGTTTAAATGGAGGCTGTTCAAACTACCTGTTGTGAAATTCATCAACCAATTCACAATTTAATTATATTTTCTTGAAAAAGACCAGAGCGAGTGGGGAGCAGAACAGGCAGATATACTGAGATACACTGCTGAGGGGAGCAGTGGGCGAGACAGGAGAGGTCTGCTGCGCCATGTGGGTCAGCTCCCTTTCGGGTCAGGGAAGGCAATAGCTTGATGGTGCTGTCTTTAATCCTGCAGCTCCCTGCACTACCAGGGAGGCTCCATTAGAAAAGATTTTTAAAACCCACTCTTCCATTGTTTTTGGAATTTAAAACAGCCTTTTGCTATAAGAGGTATCACCAATTTAACATCTATTTTTAAAAACCACAAATATTAGGATAATTGTTTATTTTCTTATAAAGATTTTAATATTGAGACTGACTGGGTTTTTAAAGCTCAAATTCAAAACAGTAGCTCTGTACTGCAGTTCTAAACTGGTATCAGGCAAAATTCTTTTTCATTTTATTTACTTTTACTATGTATACACCAGCAATTCCTATTTCTGACTGTAGTAGAACACAACAATCGATATGGGCAAAGGAAGGGGAGCGTGATTGAAATCATTCAGTTATTAGCTTTATGCTCACAACCTCTCCAAGGCAAAAAGATAATATTCCTTTTAAGAAATTTCTCCTGTCTTCCTCCCTGCCATACCACCTCTCAAGAAAAATAAAAGCGAATTCAGGAAAAAGGGGACAACTCATTCTGTAAAGAAAATAACTTCACATTTGATCTTTGATTCACCTGTCAAAAAGATAAAAGATCTTTGCTAACTAATTATAATAATTGCTACCTCAATTCATTTAGGGATTATACTTTATTAAGTTTAACAGCTGCCAGAAAGCAGTAACTTTTTGGTAGTCTAGAATGTTTCTTAAAGTCAGTCAGTTATGCCACCTACAGTAATAGTTTGAAGTTGGTGGGGCAGCCCCAGGAGGCTAAAGCATTCACAGTATAGTGTGAGACTCATTAGTAAATGGATTGTTCTTTACTCCTGGAGTTGAAAACTGAATCAGTGCTGGTATACTCCCACTGAACACTAATCTTAATCAGTTTTGTGCCTTCCAGATGGCACTAAAAATGATGAAAGATAATAAACCCTGAATGTTGCAATACCTTAGAGCAAGAGCTAGTAAAAGCTTAATTGCTTCTTGGGGGAGCCAGGGGAAGACTGGAGAAATCAGATGATGACAAATGTCATCTGAAGCAAAGTTTTCATTATTTTGCTCTTAGAAAAGCTTTTGTAATTAGTTAATCATAAGCTTTATAACTGGATAAATTTGTGAGCTATGCAAACTGGTATTCTTCTTTAGATTATACATTAAAGGATACTGGAAAATAACAATTTGTCTTAAGAATATTAAGGAAACAATATATGGTTTCTGACACATTTACTGTTGTTTTTTTTTAAACCCAGAGGACAGACAGCTATGACAGGTTTCTAGAAGAGCAACATCCTGAATGTTGCTACTAAATGAGGTAGTATTTGCAAAGTACTCAGCACTGTGCCTGGAATATTAATGACTATCATTAATTATTGTTATTATTGCACCCACGGGTATGATCATCTGAGTCTGTGCCAAATCACAGGCAGCAGGGTTGGGAAAGGATCCTATCTCTGCAATTCAATTCAAAATTCACGTCTGGAGTTGTGTGCTCTACTCAATACAAATATCTCCTAAGCTATAAATAAGCTTATTAGAACTTTCCTGAAGAGTGTGTCAAGAGTTGGGAAAAAGAGCAGTATAAAGCTCCTGGAGGTACTGAGGCTGAAGGAAGTGAAAACAAAACTTAAGTGACCAGGTGCTCACTTCTGGCTCTAAGTCCCTTCTTCCTCAGGCCTTATGAATATTTGAGACATGAAAATCCTGCCTGCCAAGGTCTGAAGAGAAGAGCTTCTTTAAAGATTCAGTAAGCCCCAGTGCAGAGTATATCTCACCTTCTCCTGAGTGCTGGCATAGCAGCTGGTGCTTTCCAGACACTTCCTGTGAGGAGAGTAGAATATGCTTTGGAAGCCTGGGTAGGGGAAGGCTTAGGGCAAGCACTGTTAGATCCAGGAAGGAATCTTTTCAGCTTCAGTGAAGCACTCCAATATACTCCTCTCTGAACTTCACAGGTTTAAGAGAGACCCTTGCCTTCACAGGAAAAGTTCTGCAGTTTCTCACATTTTGGACCTTTGAACACCTAAGATCCTGCCTGTGTTACATGTAGGAACAACCAAGTCCCTTGATTTTCCAGTGAGTTCTAAGGGTCTTCTCCTACCCTGTAGTAGACTTAAAAAGGACATGCAAGAGTAAGAATTCTCTCAGGACAAGTTAGAGGTAGAAAAATATCAGGCTGGGTACTCCATGGTGGTGCAGTGGGTTGGGGCGCAGCTCTAAAGAGCTGTCTGCAGCCACTGAAAATCTAGTTCAGTTCCCGGCCAGGGTGCTGGGGGATGACCCACATGGCATGGCAGATGGTGCCCAAGTTCCTGTATACATAAGTAAATAAATCTTCAAAACAAAACCAGGTCTTGGGATCAGTGCCACAGTGACTGAATGTTTCCTCAGTAATAACACCAGTGTGAACTCTTACTTACAGTGCAAGTCTCACCATCAAAGAACCATTTTTCAGAAGAACATTGTTGAAAAGCTTAACTGTCACTGCTCAGTCCTCACAGCATGCCCACGAAGTTAGTTTACCCTTTGAAAGAGAGTGGAAAGGACCTGACCATTTCACCTGAGGAGTGGGCAGATAAGGTTGAGTGGGGCTGGTTCCTATGACCCCCTAGACTAAAGGGAATAGAATGTTAAAGGAGGATTTTGGGTCATAAACAAAAAGTGGGCAACTGGGGTCATATGTGAGCACAAAAGATGTCTTTATTTTTTTCATGTTACATTTCCATTTGCCAGCTTAATATACAAATAGGCAACGGGAGGGCATCCCCCTAATGTTAATGCTGACCTTTAGATTTAGAGACAGTATCTACACACATGAACATTTGTCACAATAAGAATCTGCCTGCTGAAGGGGAGGGAGGTAGAGACAAAGTGGAGAGGGTCCCAAAGGTCTAGGGTAAAGGACTGTGGGGGGCCTTGGTGGTGGATAAATACATCTGAGAAGGTGCAAACATATTCCCCTGAATTGTACACAATGTTGTACAATTACAAAATGTTACCTCAATTACAAAAAAAGAGAGAGAAAGGTATTTATCACAGAGCCTATGTATTTTTTCATCCTTGCCAATGAAGGAATAACTATGTCATTCTTTTTTTTAATGGCATTCTTTTTAAAACAAACATGCAATATTATATTTCATGCAGAATTTTATGGCACATGAAATACATTATTTCATGCGGTAGAAGAATTCAAGTAAGAAACAGATTGAAATGACAGAGATGGTAAAGGAAGAGAAAATGGATGGTATGCAGAATGAATATAAAAGAATTTATGTGGAAAAAAAGACCCTAACTACAAAAGCTGCTTTCAGCATATCGACATGACAAATTATCAACTAACCTTACCATGCTTTTGCTGTGGGTTTGAGAGAATTCAAAATAAAAAAGAAATCTAGTAAGCACATAATACATTCTCTGTATTCTCCTTACCTAGGAAAGCTGCCATATTCATGACTTGACTGAAGACGCAGCTTGCAGGTGGGTCATCACCTGCAATACTTGAAAAAATATTTAATATTTTATTATTTTTGTATTAAAATCTATAATTTCCTTATTGAACTGAGTGTGTCACTTCAAAAGTCGTATTTTGAAATCCTACTCCTAATGGAATAGTTTGAGGAGCTGAGACTTTGGGAGGTGATTCAGTCAGGAGGGTGGTAGACTCATAAAAAGAGTCTCTCCTCTCCGGAGTGCTCTTGTCCCTTCCTGACATTTGAGGATACAGTGAGAAGACAGATCTCTAAACCCAGAAGATTGTCCTTACTAGAACCCAATCGTGGTGGCATCCCGATTGTGGATTTAGCTCCAGAGTGGTAAGACACAGATCTCTGTTGTTTATATGCCCCCTCTGACTCCTATCTCTGTAAGTTTGTTAGAGTAATTGGAACACAGGCCCCAACTCAACTTTTCCTTAGAGTCAACAGATTAGGAGCAAATTACCAATTTACCTTATATATGGCGCATGCTTCACACCAGGTTTCCTGAATAACAAAAATACAGCAGCTCAGTTTAAGGTAAGGTCATGTGTGCCACAGTCATCATCAAATTCCAAAATGATGGTTCTTAACAGTGAATGTATTAAGAAGTTACCAATGTTGAAGAACATAGGGTACTATATTTCTGTTGTTGAACCTCAGCGATAGCAGAGTTTTTGTTAAGTCTATAGATGAACAATGAACTAAGCAGGGAATGTTACCTTTCAGCTGAATTTAATGGGAAAATTTTGTCATCTTCCACAGCTATAAAATATCTATGAAGAAAAACACAATTAAAGTAAACATTGTTTAAAAATGAATAATGATGTAAAATATATATGAATGAAAAAAGACAAAACAGTTAAAGTTTATAAAATAAAATAATTTTTAAAACCAGGAATCAGGGCCCTCCCTGGTAGTGCAGTGGGTTAAAGTGTAGCACTATGAAGTTAGCTGCAGCCACTTCAGCACAAGTTCAATTCCTGGCCAGGGAGGTGACACACATGCGTGGCAGACCTCCCCTGTCTCACCCACTGCTCCCCTCAGCAGTATATTTCAGTAGATCTGAATTTTCAGTTCCCACTCTGTGTATGGTGAATCCTCTAGCCCCTACCCCAATACCTCTGGTCGGTACCCCAGTTTTTGTATGAATAAATAAATAAATCTTAAAACAGACAACGCCCCCCCCCCCGAAATCAAGTTTCTCAGTTTTATTAGACCACATAAATCATATTAATTTTTTTCCTAACTGGAAAAATACTCTCTTACTTTGCCTACAAACTAGCTCCGTGAAAGTCAAATGTTATTATTAATAACATTTTTAAGATTTTCAAGATGCCTTTATTAATCAGTATAACCTGGAAACTCGGAAAATAAAGAAATAATACATTTCAGTGTTGGGCAAACTAAAATAAGATTTCAAATTTCCTTTTTATTTATATGTTCTCAAATTGTCTTAATTTTTCAATCACTTATACATCTATATAAGTTTGGGGGTACATTTATATACCTCCAAATGTATACATGTTTCACACACCCTCTACCAAAATTCTCCTTTTCTTAGTGAGCCCATCTTGGGGTTTGTCAATTTTGTTTATTTTATCAAAGAAATGATTTTTTGAACTATATTTACTATATTTTTGTTTTCAACTTCATTTATTTTCTCTCTAATTTTAATTATGCTTTCTACTGATTTTTGGCTTCACTTGTTCTTTTTTTGCTCATTTCTTCAGTTGTAAAGTTAGGTTGTTTATTTGTGATTTTTCTTTATCTTCTCTTTATTTCTTTCTCTCTTTTTTTTTTTTTTTTGATATGTGTCTCAATGGCTAAACCCTTCCCTGACAATAGTACCTTTGGAGCACCACAGACTGGGATTCCTCCTCTCTGGCCATGCTTTCCTTCTCCTCTGTCTTCCCCACCTCACCAAATATCAACCCCTGTGCAAAATGTCAATGGGAAAGTCCTCTCTCTATTGCTGAACTGTTACAGGGTAATGCCCAATGTGAATTGGGTTGCCTGACTGTGGGTCCTCACCAGGTGCTTAAAGAGGCTTAGATTTAACTGCAGGCACACACAGAAAGGTTACTAATAGGTTTATTTGCAAGGGAAAGGGAAATGCGTAACTCAGGAGGAAGAGAGAGATAAGTCTGTTAGTGCGTCCTACTAGTTCTGCTGACCTGGAAACCCAATAGCACTCTGAGAGCCGGTGAAAAGCCAGGAGCTCAGCTGCAAGCCATGAGGCCAAGAGACCCCCAGAGCCCAAAATATCTGGTTTTATCTCCAAATAAAAATGGCTACTTAACCCCTCCCTTGGGTCCTTGCAGTCATCCCTTTGGCGATGCTGGGATTTATAGTTCTGTAACTGGGTGGTCCCTAGGAAAAGGGGAAGTTCCAGTTTCCCTGCCCCACCCAGAAGGAGGGTGGAGCTGAGCAGAGAAAAAGGAGAGAAGGAATGAGAAGAGAGAAGAGAATGAAGCTGGATGGAGAACAAGGAGACCTGAGGAAGCCACATGGAGCAGCAAGCCTGTGAGGAAGAAGCCAGGCTTGTTTCCTGACCCTGGACTGGTTAAGGCAGATGTGGGTGAGATGTCTGTGGGGAGGTGACTATGGCAGTGTTTATATTGATTTTGATTTTGCTCTTTTCCTCCCAGATTTGTCTGGCCATTTCTGACCCTTTTCCATGGTTCCCGGCCAGAAGATGCTTTAGTCTAGTGGCGGGCTTTCAGGCCTTGCTTTGGGCCAATCCCTTTTGGGTTGACTTTTGCCCACGAGGGGATGGGTAACTTCAGGTGTTTGATTTAGAAGTTATATTCTTTGTGTTCCGTATTGTGTATTCACTGTATTAAAGTCCCTTTTCATTAAAGTTTTATATGTTTTGTCTTGTTGCAGTGGATGGCAGAACCCACTTAGAGCAGGCAGGTTTTTGGGGCTTCAGGGGTGCCCCTCTCCCCCTACCCTATAACAGTTCCAGTGTCTGGAGCAGGGATGGAGTAGAGTTTATTCTCTGTCTGTAGAGTTTATTCAGGACATCCTTTCTCACTAACATCCTCTGGGTCTTTCTTTGAGAAAATCTTATTGTAGTTTTATTTTCCTTTTAGTAGTGTTTAGGGAGGATGATGGCCCATACTTCTCTATTCCATCATATTAGTGGAGTCCTCAGAATTCAAATTTTCTCATTTTTCAGGAATGCATGCATGCCACTCTTAATGATCTGCAGGGAACTAAAGTAACTTTCTGGAAGTGCATAGTACTTGAAATAAGCAAGTATGGGAATGTTTTGTCATAAGGCAAGATTCTCAGTGTAATTCTATCCATTTTATAAATAATCAAACCCAATCACACACATAAGCTAGGCTATGAATGTAATCCTTAGCATGTTAGTGTCAAGTGAGCAAATTTTGCAAATAATGAATCAACCCATAGCACTAGTTTATAGAATGTAACTTTCTGAAAGAATACAGGAACATAAAATAAAATCAGTATTCTTGATTACCTGCTTTGCATAATTTATAACTCATTCTTGTTATTGATCTGGGTAACCCAAGAAGAGAAACAAAATGGGAAGTTTAGCAAGGTTACATTAGTAAACACTATTTTAAGTTATTTACAAATACATTCCAAGAGATATGCCATACACTATCGAAATGTCATAGTTTTATCTGCTTTGCACCTGAGTTCTTAAATAATCAAATAAGAGAATACTCACACAATCCACAATCCAGCTGAAGTGAACAAAGTGAATACCAGTGGCAAAAACATCCACACACTGCATTTCTTCCCATCCATGCCTGTCCCACTGAAATCAAACAAACAGGTATTAATGACTAAGGCAAACAAATGGAAAGGAAGCTTAGTGGAAAAAAGTGCTTTTTATGACACCGTGACACAAACTGTAGCAGGACTGCCACAACACATGTGGAAATCCCTGGGCCAGTTACATGGATGATTGTTAGCTAGTGCTAGCTTCAATATTCCACCATCTTTGTTGAAAACTAGTGGAAAATTTTGTATAGAGACATTTATCTTTATATAAATTCTGACATGTTTAATAATGGACAAAAGGGTTTGGATTAGGGCTTTGAGAAGAGCTAGGTACTAAAGGCACACTCCAACCTACTTTAGTATTATTATTAACATTTTGCATTTATGGGTCTGTGTATCTGGCATGTACATATGCCTACAACTTGGCAGATAAGAGTGTTAGAAACAAATGGTTACTAAATAAATTAGCAACAGAAGGAAATAACAAATGTTTCTAAATCTGAACATTTCTCAGGACATATTATTGAGTAGCCATCTCAAAGGCTCTAAGGATAAATGCTCTGGAAAACAATGCATTGTCCATACTTCCAGCAAACACACAATGAAAAAACATACAGATGCCAGGTATTCAGGAGTTTGTGTTTCAAAGCAGTTACATGGGATGTGGTGTGTAACAACACCTGAAGGGGGAGACCCTAAACCTCTCAAACACAAACAACAGTGTAGTCAATGTTACCTCAAAACAAACAAACAAAAAGCAATCAAGCATAAATTAAAAATCCCCCAACTAAATACCAGAAACTTCAAAAGTGTCTATAAAAATGATTGGTATGGAAAAGAAAGGAGAAACTAATTATCACTTCTTTACCCATCACATCAGACAAAATCTATTCTAGACACTGGATGCCAACAATCCTGAAGGCAAACAGAAACAAAAATACCTGATCCAAGAAAATAAATTACCCCAGTGACCTTCACGGTGCGCCCGACAATGTGATTAAATGGCGCCCCTGAGGAGATACCACTGCTCATTATTTTAGCTTTTACAATTATCTGCAAAAAGTTGCTTGCGGGGTTTTAACCAGCATGGCCATATCTCTGGCCTCCCATGATGACTGCTCTCACCTGCTGAGACTCACTGGCCTTTCAAAGTGTTGAAACCAGAGAGAGAATATGGCCCTCCTTTTAGCCTAGCTGGCTGCAAGGTCTCAGGAAGTTCATATTTCCCAGAACTAACCTGTTTGATTAGGCTGTTCCTTCCACCAGGGGACAGTCACCTGGACCTAATAATGTTCCTTGATAGTCATGCTGTGATCTAAACACTTGTCTGAGAAGGGGTGTGAAATAAAGTGCAGAATCTAGGAACTACAAGACATTAGAATAACTTCCAGTCAATTTAATTAAATCTCATTCAATTCAGTCCGATTCACAAATATTGACACCTGCTTTGGAAGAAAGATGAACATTTTAAGCATATATATTATGGTCTTTTTCAGCGTCTATTCATTTATGTCTAGAAAGTTGTAGGCTCATAGTGAAGCTATCAATTATGCTAATAAAAATAATTCCATCAGAAGCCAAACTGTAGCAGGAGTATAGAAAACAGAGATGTTGATTGAGCAAGTAAACTGATTATCTAGATCTGTCCCTGAAATTGGGGACTGCAGCAGGATAAATGTAACTGAAAGGGTTACACAGGAATAAAAGGTAGACTTAGTTCTCTGGCTCTCTTTTTTTAAATTTCTGCATAGAAGCACTGGGGTGTAGGCCTGAATGAGGAACGAAACAGGTGAATTTACTGAAATACACTGCTGAGGGGAGCAGCTGGTAAGACAGTAGAGGTCTGCTGTGCCATATGTGGCTTAGCTCCCTGGCTGGGGATAGAACTCAGGCTGCAGTGGTGATAGCACTGAGACTTAACCCCTAGACCACCAGGGAGGTCCCAGGAGACAGTTCTTAATTCTGTCAACTGACAACGGGCCTGAGTCATTTTTTTTTTAATTTAGAAGATTTTAAAATCAGCAGCATCATTTTCACAGCTCACTATGAAGACTGATGAATTTAAAGAGAAAGAGAAGGACAGCAAACACTGAAGTCTCACAGGGTGGTAGCACCTTGGAGGTTAACCAAAGACCAGTATCTTAACATCTCTGTAGTAACAGAATGCTCCACTGTACAGCTAGCAGTCTCAGAACTCACGCCTATTAGTCATTTTTACAGCAGACTGCTAGGTAAACCAGTTGCCTATTTTTTTTTTTCATTTAGAAAAATTTTAAATATACTCATTACACCATCCTTCATTTTTGTACACTATAGGATTTCCCCATGGCATTGCCACCACTTCACCTGTGCATCATCATCAGAGTCCCTTGTGCTTGGCCCACTCCTATCCTGATCCTTTTTCCTCCTCCTCCCCTACAGAATGTCTCTGATGATTTTGATTTTTACTTTATTATAGTTAGTTTTTTCTGATTCCTTATTTGATTTCTCTATATACTTCACAATGGAATATTACTTAGCTATAAAAAGGATAAACTCATGCCCTTCACAGATGTCTGCATTTATTGATTGATTGATTGATTTGTTTATTTATTATTAATTTATAGAAAGAAATCAGCTGCCCAATGATAAGTTACCTCCCCTTTTAGGACCATTTATATGGGAAATCAAAATATGGGAACAAGAAGTAGAATAAAGAAAGTTAATGAGATAATTCTAAGACAATGGCACTCTTTGTGCTTATTCCCTTCAATAAGATGGGAATGGTGAGGGAAGGACTTGGACTGAATCCTAGCTCTACTGCTTAGTAACTTTGTGAACTCTGGCAACTGATTTCATCTCTTAAGCCTTTGTATGAAATCTCATTATGGGTTTGATTTGTATTTGCCTAGTGATTAATATATTACAATAGGTATATTTGCACGTGCTTATTGGCCATTTATATATCTTTCTTGGAGAAATCACTGCTCATGTCTTTTGTACTTTTAAAAATTGTGTTGTTTTTGGGCCCTCCCTGGTGGCACAGCAGGTTAAAGCAAAGCACTAAAAAGCTAAAGCCACTTCTGCATGAGTTTGATCGCCGCCTGCACTGGAGGTGACCACATGGCGTGGCAGACCTCTCCTGACCTGCCTGCTGCTCCCCTCAGCGTGTACCTCATCAGTCAGCCTGGTCTGCTCCCCACTCTGTCTCTGGTGAATTCTTTCACTGTCCCTGCACCTCTGGCCTGTTTCCCAGTTCTGTATACCTAAATAAATCTTTAAAAAAAATTGTGTTGTTCAATGAGATACCACCTCACCCCAGTGAGAATGGCACATCTTCAAAAAACTAGCAACAACAAATATTGGCGAGGATGTGGAGAAAAAGGAACTCTCCTGCACTGCTGGTGGGAATGCAAACTAGTACAACCACTATGGAAAACTGTTTGAAGGTTCCTCAAACTGCTAAACACGACCCAGCAATCCCACTCCTAGGTATCTACCCAAAAGACACAAAAACACTGATTGAAAAAGATATCTGTACCCCCATGTTTATTGCTGCTTTATTTACAATTGGAAAAACATGGAAGCAGCCCAAATGCCCAAAAGTAGATGACTGGATAAAAAAGAAGTGGTACATATATACAATGGAATATTACTCAGCAACCAAAAAAGAAACACCTGTCTTTTGCAGCAACTTGGATGGAACTGGAAAAGGTCATGCTTAATGAGATAAGCCAGAAAGAGAAAGAAAAATACCGATGATTTCACTCATAGCAGGAGTATAATGGACCAGGTGGAAAATAACAAAAATAATGAACAACTATATACCAGAGACATTTTGTGGAGGTGGAGTGGGGAATGGGATCAAAAACGGGGTGGGGGGAGGGAAATGCACGGGATTATGGTGATGACACATGGGTGACTTGGTGATGGGAAACCTGCGGGGATTACAATTGAGATGGAAAAAAAAAATGTACAAAATGATGTAAAAATAAATTTTTGTAATAAAAAAATTGTGTTGTTTTTGCTATCTAACTATGATAACTTACATATTCTGGACATTAATCTCTTACCAGATATAAAATTTACAAAATCTCTAATTAATGTGAGTTACCTTTTTACTGTATTTATAGTAAACTTTGATGAATAAACATTAAAATTTTATCTTTTGTTCCCTCGGTTCTTGGTGTTCCATCCAAGAAAATGCCAAAGCCAGTTTTCTTCCTATGTTTTAGTTTCAGCTCTTACCACTTAGGTATTTGATTCATTTTGAATTAATTTTTGTATATGGTGCAAAGTAATTTCATTTCTTCGCATGTAAAGATCCAAAACCATTTGTTTAAAACAGTGTCTTCCGCACATTGAATGGTCTGGCAGAGCAAAAGTTAAAAGCTTATAAAAATCTAACTTAACAAGTCTTCCTTTTTTTTTAACTCATTGCCTAAGTCTTGATCTTGAAGATTTCTTCATAGTTTTTTCTTTTTTTTAAAGATTTATAGTTTTACATTTAAATTTGTAACCTGGCTATATCTCCTTAAACTGTAGGTTTCTATTGCTTTTATTGAAATGGGTTAGACTCCAGACAGTTTATAAGTCACTTTGACAGGGATCAAGAAGTATGTGATGATCAAAGTCAATCTTCTGAAGAATAAAGATTTATAATGAGGAACATGTATTTCAGCCATAATATACCCTATCATGCGCTCTTCAAATGACAATGTGAACTAAAGAACAAAACAATGGTGTGTGTTGAAGTGTAAAGCTCCCTAACTGGCTTCACCTCCTTACCACCTTTGAGGTATTGAGACCAGAAGATCAAAGTAAAAAGCTCTTTCAGAACCAGTTTCTGGTTGTTTCCTATATCTGCCCTACCTGACATATTTTGATCCTTTTATTTCTTTTGCTTACCCTGATGGGACCTGGTTAACCAAAGAAGGGTAACTCTGTTATATACTTTTTGTTTCTTGCCCAAAATAATTTCTGTCCATCATTAGCCCATAATCATCTTAAAATGTGACCAAAGAACCAGCAATAGTGAAACAATACTGACAAATA